GGTGGGTGACCACTTGGATCAGTCTGCGTAGGGACCGAGGGTGTGCGGTATTGGTCCTCGTTAAACTATGCTACCGTAAAGTGCTCGACTGTGCGCTGGTCGTCGGGCTACCGAGGCGGGGGTGCCATCCCCTCCGCAGAGGATCAAAATTGTGATGGCATGTCTTCGGATGATCCTCCGGGATGTTTCCTTCGGATGACCGTCGCCAATAGCCCATTGTGCAGCTCTAGTGTGACGTAAATTAACAGCAACAACAACAATATATATATAAAGAGAGAAACTTAATTTTGAAAAAAATGTGATATGGTCCAATCATATGGGGCTCCCTTGACCAGCGATGCCCCGACTGCCCCAGTGTAGTTACGGCCCTGTTAATGATGGTCATTACATGCTGCAAAAAATTAAATATGCAAAAACAAAAAGCTTAAATCAAATAATTGGAGTAGAAAAAGTTTCATAACTTTTATTTCGCTACATAATTGAATACATTGTTTTTGAATACATAATTTTTAAATCCATAATTTTTGTAAGTCTCAGATATATGCTACTATAACAATACAGAGATTGCAAGAAAGACAATCTAAGTAAGGCTTGAACTTTCTTCATTGGGCATTCTCAAACGTATTCTGTAGTACAGTTCCTTTGAATACAACCAACTATAAGAGTTGTCAAAAACAATAATATCTGGAAGAAAAAAAATAACAATAGAAATAAAATGATTGATTTTTTTTATTACTTAATAAAGATTTAAAAAAGGTTACTGTTTCAAAATGTTAAACATAGCATAATTTTCAAATTCACGATACCACAGGATGTTTGAAAAATAATTATCTGATTTGAAATACTTATGGATTAATTTTGTGCTTGAGTGAAGCTAAGCAATATGAATGAAGTTCAAATATTACTACATAAAAATAAAATACTATAATCTTAGTTTTATGTACAATAAAGAATCTTCATCAATTTCGAAATACAAAATAAAAGAGAAACACAGAGGTTCAGAAAAAATACAAACAAGTTTCAGCTTGAAAAAAAGAGGTATAACCAACAGGAGAGAAAAACCAGCTCGCAGATTTACTGTAAGACTGAAACCATATATGGTTTCAGTCTTATGTAGCATTATCTGCGTTTTTATAACGTAATTTCGCTTTTCTTCGTATTGGGGAGAATCGAGTGAGACCATATAGTTGAGTGAGATTTGATTATGTTGTAATTAGTTATGTTTTCTAGCGGACAGACTCAGAATCATAATTTCATACTCCGCTAGACTCAGAATCATACTCCGTTGCTGTTTAAGAAAAGACCATTGCTGTATAGGATTAAAGTAATCATTCGTAACTGCATGTAGTTGCGTTTATTTTCGCTATCAAATTATGCGAATATACTATCAAAACAATTTAAAAGCTTTTAAAATTTTAACACGTCAAACTGAAATTTAATTCGTGCAATCTCTTACCATAAATATCGCAGAATTATTAAAAAGAAAAAAGGTTAAGGTTAAGGATCTAATAATCGAACTTTCACGTACAAGGACTCTCTTAATGGTCCGAGGGGGTGACCTCAAATATGCTAATTAGTTAGTGCAAACGATATTTTAAATTTTGAAATCAGACACAAAAATAAATTTTTTTTTGAATAAACACACGATTTCTTTAATTTTTGATCCCCAAATATTAAAAAAATTCGGCCGTAATTCTGTAGCAGCAATTGGGTCTCAATAGTTTTGTCAGGAGTACTGTCACAAGTTTGGACCCTTTATTGCTAATTTTATTTTATGCATATTTCGCCATATCTGGAGACATTTTTAAGCGATTTGAAACATTTTTGCACACAATTATGAAATTCGTTCGTTCAAAGATAATTCCATGAAAAATTAATTTCGAATAATTACTTTTTTATTTTATTTAATAATAGTTTAAAAATATTAAATTTTAAGTTATAAATTTTTTTCGTAATTTTAAAGAATGTGAAATTATCTGGCAATGTACAAAATTTTTAACGAAATCGGTCAAACAGTTTCTCACAAATTGAATTTTAAAAAAGTCGATAATTAAAAGTCGATTTCTCAGGAAATATTCATCCGATTTCGTCCAAATTTTGTCATATAAAATCACATTCTCTAGAATAATGTAAAAATTTCAATACCTTACAATTTAAAACTTTTAAATAAAATGGTAAATAATAGGAAATTTTTTTTTCTTTTTTGGATAAGTGAATTTTAAAAGTGTGTACAATCATTTTTTTGGATCACCTAACAATTTTTCGATACATTAATTAATAAACAAAAATAATAAAAATAAAATATAATAATATTTATTAAAAGTCATTTTTTGCATCTTTGAATAAACGAATTTCCGAATTTTAAAATTGCGTGTTAAAATTTTAGATTCTCTTGAAAAATTCTCAAGATATAGTAAATTAGTAAAAAGTAAAATTAACATTAAAAAGTTAAAAGTCCAAGCTTTTGACCGCACTCCTGACCAAACTATTAAGACCATCTTTCCCAGATTGCAGCTACTCCTATAGTTTGAGGGTTTAAGATCCAAATTCGTCAAAAAATGTTTAGTACGAGAAAGTAATTTTTTGTGTCTGATTTCGTAACTTGAGAGAGATATCTTCTGCTTTAAATAATTAGTAGATTTGAGCTACTAAACTATTAGAGTAGTGAACTATTAGAATTGAGTTCTAGTACGTCAAAACCCAATCAGTAGATCGAAAGTTATTCAGGGTGACTTGTTTTTTTTTTTTCGCTCTGTAAATAAATATTGTAATAAGCTTAATAGTTTCAAATTGTTTTTTTTTATAACCCAGTTATTATTCATTTGTGCAAACCCTGTAATTAAAAACATTAATTTACTCTGCTGAGTCTGTCAATATTTTTTAATGAGAATCAATAATTTGTTGAAATGAGAAAAATGATAATGAAACAATTAATTACAGTAGGGAACTGATTATCCGGAACGATCGGGACCATCGCTATTCCGGATAACTGATTTTTCCGGTTTTCTGAATCGCTACAAAAAACCATTTTTTTATTGTTAAACCCAACTAAAAAAATAAAAATATTTGGAAATAATCCTAAAAAGAAGAAAAAACGATAAAGTAATTACAGTAATGATTATTTCTAAAATGATGGTATGCTAAACATCTTTCAAAAAAGAAAGAAAAATCCTAAAATCTAATGAGGAAAAAAAAACATTTTTTTTAAAAATGGCGGGAAAATTTATCGAATTTCGTTCCGGTTTTTTGGTTTTCCGGTTTTCTGATTTCCGGATAACGGGTTCTGCACTGTACTTTCTTAATACTACTTAAGGACTGAAATTTCCACTCACAAGTTCCTGTTTTTTGACACTTGTAAATGCCTGTTTCAACCGCAGCTTCAAATCTTTGTAATTCAATTAGTTCTTCGATTTCTGTACATGGGTTTGATTCGTTTTTAAAGAAGAGGCCAAAACCTATGCTCCTGCTGGCTGTTTCGAATTCCCACTCTATAAATGTACTTGGTTCATCAACTAAAAGCATCACTTCGGAGAAAGATGATCTCTTCACAATGAGCTTCTTAACGCCATTTTCGCTAATTAATGATCTCTGCTTCAAGTATAGTTCTTCGGGAATTTTCTTTCCGTGTTTAATCTAAAAGAAAATATTAAATAAGTTATTTTATTCTTTTTACCTCCCTTAATCTATAAATTTAGAATCTATAGTAATAAAAGGAAACCTTTGTCTGTGTTTCTCTCTTTTGAATGCAGAATCTATTGTGCCAGTGGACAATATGAACAGTGGAAAATATGAACAAGTGGAAAATATGAACAGTGGATGCAAGGGTTTTCGAACTATAGAAAATCCCCTCCCCTATAGAAAATTCAGCTTTTGACTATTATAAGAAAAACATATCACAATTTTAAGTAAAAAGTTCTCGTGAAAAATGAATTATGGTAAGGGACGTGTCTACACTTAACTTCAGTTCATTAGTGGCATGAACTTTCCATGCTGCTCAAAAATTCTCTGTCAAGTCTAGAGATCTTGCTGGCCTATCTGTTCAGGGAAATATTCGAAATTACATGGCTTATGTGACCATGAGATATTGATCATTTTAATAAAACTTGAACCAATAGAAACCAAGAAAAAATGAACATATGGATAAAAGAATATATGTCTGCACTCGTACCAGTAGCATTACTTCTCTCATAGACGCAGGAAGTTATGTGGTCATGATATCTTCTCATATCATTAAGCCCTGGCTTTAAAAATGATCGTTTTCTTTTGGATAATAGAGGGTTGGAGCAGAATCTCTGACTCTGTTCAAATTAAATTATCGTTCTGAGACATACTAACTGCCATCCAACGTCTAAATCAAATCCATCAACCATCATGGTGGCGACGGTATATCAATTCGATAAAGAACCAAGTTGGACGACCGCGCGATGAACCCATGTCTGTCAATCAGGCTCTGTTACTGATATGAGTATTATGATGATTCTAATTTCATTTTAATGAACGATAGCGAGGCCATGTACATCATATCAGTGTCGATGAGTTTCTGGAATGTGAAGATATTTGTCAATAGTCAACCAGATCTACGAACCTTAATTCAACAGATGAAAGAAATCGAATAAAATTGATTGAAGAATGAAATATTTTGCATTATGAAATTATTCTTGGGACATGCATATTTTGAAAATTAATAAAATAAGCTGAGATATGGTTTGCAAAAAAGAAATGATGCAAACATAGAAAATCAAAGAAACGTTCTTTTATATTATTGAATTTGCTTATTTTATGTTGAATTGAAAAACTCGATGAAAAATACTTACTGAATTTATTATCATATTCTTTTCATAATTTATTCAATATATTGTATTGAGAAATTTTTTTTTTCTTTTTAAATTACAATTCTTCTCATTGACACTTAACATAAATAAGTATATATATACAACCGATATATTAAGTAAATTACAAATTATCAACTATAATGTATAACAGTTATCTTATAATTATAACTATTATATGTTTAAAAAAATAATTATAACCTTCGAAAACCCCGCAATGCTTCCACGGTTCCGCGGAACATTTTTGGGGAAATATTGGAGTCTACTTGAAAAGCGCAGTTATTTAAAATTTGTATTTTAATTTATTACGATTTTGCTTTTGTCTAGCTCAGGGGTTTCCAATTGGCAACCCGGGGGGCTCATCCAGCCCGCGAAGCCTTTTTTCGTGGCTCGCGTACTAAAATATATTAGTTGTCACTTTTTTGCTGACAATCTTCGTAAAAAATCTATATGGGTTTGCAATACCTTTCTCGTTAATAAAAACCTAATTTCTTCGTTTCTGTAAAATTTAACATACCAACGGTGCAAATAAATTTATTTCTCAAGTTTTGCATCCAAGAAAATATTTAATCAATAATCGTATATGTTGCTCTTTTTTGTTTTATTTTTTTCTTGTATTTTGTGAATATAATGTAGCATGTGCGTATCAGAAATTTTCTCGAAGAAATTCTCCGATTTAACTTTTTGAAACCACTCATTTTGGATGAAAATATTTGCACACACATTTGTAAATTTTAAACTTAAATATCTATTCTCTTTTGGTTGCAGCAGACAAACCTCAATTTTCTCATTGAATATTGTGTGTGCTACTTTGTAAGTTTTAATACCAACCTTTTCAAAGTTTGATATCTTAACAATTAGATATCTGTTGCGCATTAATTGTTTAATACATAGGTGCACATTAAAGTTATTGTAGCCCGAATTTTTATTATGTATTTAATATTTATAAAAATATTATTAATAACAATTAAATATTTTTAAAAATCTACTTCTTATTTTAATTTGTAATTCAATACTTTTGTTTTGTACAACTTGGTAAAAATCTGACTGTAATATTTAATGTTCCTTCAAACATAAAAGAGTCCTACATAAAATTTTGATAAAGTTGCGGCCCGCCATTTGATTTTTGTTTTTAATTGTGGCCCCCGGCCTCGTGTAAGTTGGAAACCGCTGGCTCATTGTAAATTTATAGGTGGGCTTTTTACTTTGATTCTCTGAAGGAGTGAGCTCTAGATGTATCTGCAAACTTGTTTTCCAAGTAATTTCTTTACGAAGAGGCAAAAAAAGAAGTATAGAACAATATGTAAGCAGCTGAGAAGTGACTTACAAAACTGGTACATAAAGGGTTGCCATCTGGATCTGTTCTGGTACCACCTAGGAAGGCAGGTAGGACGTCGGCGTCAATTATTTCTAAAAGTTTATCTTTGCATTCATCTAAAGCAACAAAGAATTCAATTTTTCAAAAAATACACATTTAAAAATTAGGAAAAATCAGATGGTTTTGTTTTAAAATACAAGAGTGAAATTTGATAAAACAAAATACGTCAATACAGAAAACCTACTGGTGACTGAAATCTTAGGCCTTGTATGAAGTATGTGGACGAATGTTGTGCATTGAACTGTAGGTACCTTAAGCCAATGTAATTATTTGTGTCATTTATTTGTAGAGCTTAGTATTCCAGTATCTGTAGTTGATACCGGTAACAACGGGTGCTGTCTGCAGTTTTGTCGATAATTTAAGGATTTTCAGGCATGTTCTACGTAATTTTTTTTCTAATTCTTTAGTTGTCAAACCGTGATTCTTGAAACAATTTCGGTGAGAAATATAACCTCATAGTATTTGCATTTAAAAACATATCTAAGGTAGATGAATATCAAAATGTCATCCTTTATGAGATAAGATAATAATCCCCCACCCCCGCAAAAATACATTTATGCCTATCTTACCTCAGACCAGTCTTTGCATTGTACTTTGGACTGGTTAAAGGTATATTCAAAAGATTCATTTAATGCAAAGGCATTTTCTTATGGAATATGATACTCACAATTTAAGTTTCTGTGTTTTTAATAAGAATAGAAGTTTTTGAAATATATCCCCAAAATATTTTTGGTATAACGCTTATGATTTATTTATTTATTTTGCTTACTTAGCTGTATAAAATTGTTTACATATGTTTGCCTCTATAGCCAAATTCAATCTACTCATAAGTTTAAAAGGAAAAGAATTCAAAATAAGTGTTCAAGAGAAAAATTGTAATTTCCAAAGTTCCAACATAAGGTGATACAAGGTACAGTACTTGGTATCGTTTTGTACTTTCAGCGAACATTTTCTTTTTTTCTTTATTTTACAAAGTGTTTTTTTAAACGTTAAACGGAATAAGTTAACAGAAAACATATATATTAATAGACAATGTGATGTATTTCCGATTCCGAAGTTATTTGAGTTATTTTATGAATAAAAATTTAAAAAAAAAATGTTTAAATTAGTCCAAGGTACAACATTATGACCCTTTGTGTTTCAACCCAAAATTCTAGTTAAAACATGAGTATTCTACCTATTTTACATAGGCAAATCCAACCGTTATGCTTCTTACAAATTTCGGTGTTCCGATTACCATAATATAGTTTGCATTAATGTCTATATATATATTTCTCTTACACGGAGACAAAAAAAAAGCCTCATTACAACTCCCCGAATGGCAACGCTCGAAAATCGACCAATGATTGCAGCTAAAAATGTCACATACCAAATCTAGCTGAGGTGGCTCAACATATAGCGCTTTTAGAAACGGAAACGGAAATAACCTGAGAGAACATCAACTGCGGCAATCTCATACTATTAAGCTAGGCAGAAGTGAGTAGTCTTTGTCGATAGATCTCTATTTTAGTATTTTGTCGAAAGCGCTTTTTTTGACGAATTTATTTGACGATTTTTGATTTATATCACGAATTTATTTGTTTTATTATTGTTATTAGCTATTCATTGAAAAATGAGTCTCAGTCGTGCTGTTACGCTTTAAGATTTTATACAATAGCACATTTCTAATAGGTTTAACGAATTACATGTCATTTATTTGAATTCAAATTTATTTGAATTACTTTGTATTTACTAAAAAGATGTAATTTTTTTTTTAAAAAAAAAGTTGTTATGTGGATTTGAATGATTGTTTTGAATTCTTAGAATTGTGTGCATTTGCAATGTACCTAAGTTAGTAGCGAGCGAAGCGAGCTTGGTTTGCGAAGTAAACCATATAAGATTGCGTAGCAATTTTCCGGGGTTGGCGAACGTTAGCAAGCAGGGGGCGTAGCCCACTAGTTGCTTATAATCTTATAAAAAAAGAGGGAAAAATACATACTCGATTGTTAAGTATACTATTAATTATGAAGAATTTAAATAAAACATGAAAATCTTTAGTTTACATTTTGAAAAAATTTATCTGGAACATGCTCACTAGAGGGAATAAAAAGAAAAACCAGATTGACACACTTATGGCATGTGTTTAACTTTTTTTAGTTTTTTGTAGTTCATTTTTGGAAGAAAAATATCTCTCCCACGAATTTCATTTTTGGAAGAAATTTTCATTTTCTTATTAATTAAAGATACAGTAAATTTTTTAAATCATAATTTGATACCTCAATAATAAATATTCGATTATCATTTCTAAGATTTTAAACATCTCTAACTTTCTTTGTCTCATACAGAACGATTAAGAAAAAGGCATTCATTATCGGGGTTTTATGCTTAGTATACAGTGGTGCGGTATTCATGTGATTGAGTGCATGTTCTTGAAAAAAATGCTCCATTCTTGCAATTAAGACTTTATCAAATTTTTTATTTTTTTTGCCTTCAATCCAACCGAAGCTTAGTAATCGAAGATATTTATATTCAGACAGTTTCAAACACTCAAAACAACACGTAATCGAAGAAAAAAAATGTGTGGGACCTGTAAGCGACGCCATCGTTTGTCTCGATCCTGATTAGCTGTTGAAACGTGGCATTAGTTTATATTAGTTACTTTTATTTCCATTTTATTTCGAGTGAGCCTATTCCGTCAAATATGAATTCAATATACGTTCTTCTAGTAATTCATTTTCGTAATGAATTCTTATAAATTAAAGAAATAAGTAATCAATACTTATCAAAAAAGAAATGCTCGATTTATTTTCTCTAATTAACGAAAAAATGCTGACAGTAACGCTAACATGCCATCTTGTTTATAAGAAACCGGCTGAAGTTGAGGTTATAGGTTAGGTTGGAGCCGCGATGGCTCAGGGGATAGAGCATTCGCCTTCCAATGAGGTAAACCGGGTTCGACTCCCAGTCGATACGAATTCCGCATCCGGCTAGCACCGACCACAGTCCTGACGGGAAATATCCTCAGTGGTAGACGGATTATGGGTTAGAGTCCCCTTGCCGTCACGCTAACAGTGAGAGGTTCTCGTGGTCTTCCGCTCCGTGTAGCGCAAATGCGGGTTAGCTCTACCTAAAAGTCCTCCACGCAGGCAAATTTCTCCCAATACTCGATCCAGGAGATCCCTGTCTTCTGGATTGGGTTCAAAACTACAAAGCTACAGAGTTGAACATCAGTAGTCGTAAACCCATAAAAGTGGGTCGGCTGTTCAATGACTGTTATAATAGGTCAGGTGACTGTGCATCTGCGGTCTTCTTCTCGAACTGAGAGTATCCCATTTGATAATACTATGAAATAATATTGATGTGAGAATATAAATCAAATTTGTAGCAGATGGCTCTTTTAATCAAAGTGAGTTGTGAGTATTGAGTTGTATTTTACTTTAATTTAGTAATAAGGAACTATAATACAACGAGTACTTTACTCAATATAGAATTTTAACTAGTAGTATTTTACTCAATATAAATTTTAAAAAATAATCACCAAATCTAGTGATGAGAACAGCTGTAACTTTGAAAAGTTACTAGATAAGGACAAGAACAAGCTATCACAGTCTTTGTTATGTTTAAAGGTCAGCTGTTTATGAAAATGTTATGAATCATGAGAAATTATGAATTAAAAGGTTATGAAAAGATGCTTATTTAACGCCTAGATCGACGTAAAGCTCCGGTAGTTATTGCACAGAAGGTATTAGTGATAATACCATATAGGGAGTTAAATAGAATCATGTTGTGTATTATTGAATCATGGATAAAATTGGGTGAGATTTTCATTCTTATTCACCGTCAGAATTATTTGATCAGACAGAAAAATTTTCAAAACACAAATGTGGATTATTAAAGAAGAAAGACTTTAGTATTGGTGGCCAAAATGTGTAACATCTTTAACTTTTACTAGAAACTCAGTGACATTTTTATCTCTCACTGAGTTATTTTTTTATAAATACTATAAATATAACATTTTTGTTCTTAAAACTGTTATTTCTTCGAGGTTTTTTAAAGAACAGTATCAGACATATAATGGAATCTCACATTTTTAATATCAGGAAAATATACTTTGGAACTTTTACCTTTACCAAGGAACTGAATCTTTTGAATGACGCCATTCGAAATCACTGGTTTAATTATGGAAAAAGCAATGCTGAAATACGCAGAGCCTAAGGAAATGAACAATAATTTTAAATTTCATTTGTTAGTAACATCTCATAGCAGGAAATATGTAAAGTGGTATTTGGTTAAACAACTAAGCTTGCCGAAATCATTTAGTATAACGTGGCTAAATTTTCATTCCATTCTTTCTTTAAAAAATATTTTCGTTCTTAGCATGTCTAAAAACATAATGTATTATTAAAATATACTTAAATAATGCCATAACTATCACTAAGATTGTTAGCTCCCGTGAATATTTCAAGTCTACTAATAAGGTGTGCTAAATGTCGCTGAGAGGTAATGTTTTCCGCCCTAACCTTGGATGAATTCTCTAATTTATCTCTGCTCGTGGTTTGGTTGGTCGGTTGTTTGGTTGCCACACGATTTATCCTCACAAGGAAAATATTTAACGAAAGTTGATATTAGAGTCAGTTTTAGTTGAAATATGTCAGATAACAAAAGTTAACCCTGTTGTAAGGTTAACTTAGGACACAATGCTTTTGAATTTTTACTGAAAGAGAAAGCAGTAAAAATATGTTTAAGCATCATATATAATTTTTTTTTATGTACAGAACCCGGTCTAGAACGTTATCGAAATCGGAAGAATCAACTGTGGGGAAAGGTGGTACTGAAGACATTAAATGCTATGAAAAGTAAACAGAGAGTAGTCGAAACGCAACTTATTTGAAATGCTTTTTTGTTTCGTTAAGCGGATTTGTAATATTTCTTTGCCGCTATTTTGTCATCTCAATCGGACAAAGTTTCATTTTCCCCCCTTCTTACTCAAAATAGATTAATTTGGAGCTTACATTTTGTAATTTTAATTAACTTTTTGCGAGATTTTCTAAACTAAGAGTAAATATTTCATAGCAACTGGGTTGTCATTAGGAAGATCTGCGGTCGGTTCCCAGCGATCGGTAGGGACACAACTGGCGGTCTTGAAAATGCATTACTGTTTATATTAGATCCTACTTATCGTCCATTGTCAAAAACCAATATCAGAAAAAAAGTTCGAAAGTTTTTTGAGAGAGGAACATACGTTTTATTCGAAAAAATCATGAATAACTGAATTTCTCAGACTCTCGATTGAACAAACTAGGTAATGTAAAACCTTCAGAAACATACGAAGGTGTTCATGTCAAGCTGTTTCGAGTTAAAACTTTTATTTAAAACTTTTTGAAGCAAATGAAGTTTTTATATTATTAAGTAAAACTTTCCACTTTAGTTTCTTGGGATTATCCATTCAATCCCGGTCGAATAATTTTGTGGTGCTCTATAACTTTTTTTGAAATTCTTACTTCATTTATTTAACAACTATAGGTAATGAATATTGTCTATCTATTCAAAGAACTCCTCTTGCTACGTAGAGGTTGTCGTCTGCTATGGAAACAGAAAATATCCGTCTCAAATAGGGAAGTCTTTGAAACTGCTCATGCCGATCCGAGTAAAAATCTACCCAATTCCTACCTCAGATCCTTACCTGAAACAGTTTAACCTCGTAACCATAGTCAGTGTTTTAGACAACTGGGGGAAGGCGTGTTCTTTAGTTAGAACAGTATATAAATCAAAATGATATACTCACCATTAATGATATAAAATGCTTTTACTCTTTCTGGGAACAAATCTTGATATAAGAGACACCCTTCACAAATATATTGAATCGCTAGAAAAAATATGAATTCTTGATGTATAAGATCGGTACAATTTTATTATTTATTCCTTTAAAGTAAGCATTTTTTTAACATAAAACCTGATAGCTAGAACATTTTTTACTGATTTTTTTCTCAGAGAACTGTACATTTAACAGAATATAGTCCACGAAAAGCAACAACACCATAATAACATTTGTTTTAATAAATTTATTGAGAGCATCACCATCACGCAGTGAATCTCCTAACTTCCTCCTAATCCAATCAGAATCGAGCTCTTTAAGTCAAAGTTAAGCAATATATTTTATGAATTTGAGATTTTTCGGGAGTGGAAACGAAGGATTGGAATTAAAATGGGGGATTTTAAATGGGGAAAATAAGAAAAGAATTGCGCGGGGGGTGAATAGCCATTTTTATTTTATTTGTTTGATTATTATTTTGTTATTACAATTAAGGGAGGATATATAGTTCCTTGCTGCAAATGCTCATTGTTTAGTTGGAACCTTTCCATTCTCCTGTCACTTAGAAGAAATTTTACAACTAAAATAGTCTTTCCCAGCTCCAAGTCAAATTATTTAAAATGTTATTAACATAGAAATGACGCATTTGCAGAAACCTGGGCTCACATGAGAATTTAGGAGATATTTTTACCTAAGATTGTATAAAATCTGCTTAGATAATGTCAAAGCTGCATTTCTTTTTATAGCAACACGATGTTACTTTGCGATTAGTAAATAGTCTCATATCACCACAGTGAAATCTTTTAAATGAATTCCTATTCTTAGTGTATTTTTTTTATATGCAATTTTATTTTTTTGAGAATACGTAAAAAAAATTTTTTTTAGAATTATTTTCACATTTAGCAAGCAAATTAAATTGAAGAAAAGAACAGATACGAATGAGTCTAACAGCGTCAGTCATAACAATTACATAAATATAATGGCCATGTTCGATTCCCGGCCCAGACACCGCATTTTCGGGATGCAGAAAATCCTCAGCGGCCATGTCGTATGATTATGCGGCATGTAAGAGATCCCTGAAGTACCTTATTGGCTTTTGGCATTTCCGGCAAAATTAAATTCATAGACATTCAAACATTCTGCAGGCATAGTAAAAACATTACTATAATGAATACACATGTAAGTGTTTTAAATTTATCGCAATTATATATATATATATATATATATACGGTGATTGACCGAAATTGGTGGTTGGTC